TTGTGAGCCAACACATATGAAAGGCTAGATCAATCCATTGGGCAACCATCAAAAAGGTCATGATGTATTTAATAGATACTTTGCATCTCAAATTGTGCATTGGAAGTGATAACATTAATTTCCATGGTTATTGTGATGCGGATTAGATTGAAGATGCAAATGATAGAAGATCAATAATATAATATATGTTTTTTTATTGAAATAGAAGCTATCTCATGGAATTGCAAGAGACAACCAATAATTGTAAGATGAATAATGGTAGCAAGCTATGCTACAATAGAAGCAATATGACTAAAATAACTTTTGGAGGATCTTAGAATATTGCAAATGAAAGTGACTTCAATAAAATTTGAGAATTAAGGATGTCTTGTATTTGCAAAGAATCCAAAGTTTCATTTAAGGATCAAACCCATTAACATTCTATATCACTTCATAAGAAAGAAGATTGAAATATGAGTGATTGATATGAAATATTGTGTAATAGAAGACATGCTTGTTACTTTTTTTTACAAAAACACTAATAAAGAATAGACATCATATATTCACAAAGGTATTAGAATGGAAATCCTTTGACTAATAGTAAAGTAGAAGTAATAAAGTATATAAATAAATGTGAAAGTAGAATAAGTAATATTATAAAGGATATTATTTTAGATAAGTTTCTATTGATTAAAGGGTTAACTCTTACTATATAAGAAGGCCAAGATATAAAATAAATGAATAGACCAAGAATATTAAGAGTAGAAAAAATATACTAAAAATATATTTTTATGGTAGATAATAATAGATAGTCTTGATCAAATGTTAGATGGATGTATTCATCAAAAGATGAAAATTATCTATTAGGATAGCAGCCACCACCTATAAATAATAGATGTTGGAAGTAAGAGATATCTTACTCCATACTTTCTTTGTATGCAACCTTGCTAATGCTACTCAAATGTTGTCATAATATGTGCTGTCTTATTTGGAAATACATTGAACATCTGATTGTGGAAAGTAAAGTTGTATTTTATATATATTTAAAAAATCTTAATAGGTTTCACTAATATAAGAAGAATGTAATTTGAATTTTAATTCAAAAGTACTTAAAGCCAATATAAAGTGATCAAAAATACTCTTTTTAGAAACATCAACCATACATAAACTCTAATTACCTTATTACTTTCATAATTAGGTAATTTTGATTTCTCTTTACAAGCCCTAATTTTAGTGAGTGAATTTTGGTAAATTATAACTCCTAATTGGGCTTCTACTTGTTGCAAAATTTTGCATACAAATGCCACTATAAGTCTTTTATATGCTTAGAAAAATTCAGCCCAATCCGACATACATATTATGAAAAAAAGTCCAAAAACTGCACTAATATCACTTGGCTGCCAACTTGAAAGTTGATGCAGTTGTTTCAATAGCGATTTTTCCTTCTCTAATAGTTAACTTCAAATAGAAATTGATAATTATGTTGATCTTAAAGTCTTTTAATACGATGACAAATTTCACCTTAATTTGACTAATAGATCTTTAGATATCATAAAAATCCTATCCAACCCCAAATTACAAACTTTTGATACCTTCTTGTATCAAAACCTAGATATCTTTCTATTACACTATTAGATTAACTCAAAATTTTATACATACTTAATAAATCCAATCAACTAAGAATTATCAAATTTTGAACTATAGATATGATACAAATTGTATAAACTAGCTAAGAGTGCTACTCTTAATTGTATTGCATAAATCCTAATACACCAATATAAATCCTGAATTTGAACAACAATTGCTAAGTCATTCCAAATCTTATGAAAATAAATATTACACTTTTGAAATAAGCTTGAAGCTAGTTCATAAATTCGAATTTCCAATCTTCAAATGAATCTCTATTTTGCCTTTGGTAGCCATTTTAATAGCTAAAAGTTTGATTTTGATCCTACTCCACAAATGGTCAATCTTTTGGTATCAATCCAACCTATCTTAGGGATTTTTTAGCCCGGCCCTATCTTCAACCTTATCTTAATATCAATCATATTAATTATTTACCTCCTCTATCATATTTTATCAATTTATGACCTTTCTAAGGCACTAAAAAAAATTCTATAGTCTAGAAGGTAAAATTATTAACCAACCTTTAATCTACCAGCTATTAAAATAAGAAAATAAATCAAGAGGCTTTTCTAAAAGCCATATTTAAATATTTTAAATTACTATTGAATTAAGATGATTAAATATTAAATAGAAATTTATTTTTGATTATATTTTCACCATATAATTGTCATATGATACAACAACATGTGACATGTGGTTAACTTATTGACTAAGTTTCTAATCTAAAAGTCAATTATAAATATGTAAAAAGTCAAAATCATATTTATAAAGCTTTTAATCAGCTTAACTAGAAGATATTATAAAATTAATTTATTTTTATCTAATTTTATCCACTTCTAGCTAATCATATCGATAATTACTAGAATAAATATGTTTGTCTATGTCAGAAATATATAATGTTATTGATTGATTTTCTTATAGCAAAATATAGATCTTATTTTTTGTAACATGAGCTATATTATATTTTCCATATATAGATAAAAATTTTATCAAAAAATATATTTAAGTTATTTAATATTAAATCACATTGTTCAAAAAAGATAAAACTATAATAATGCATAATCAAAAAATAGTATTTCAATAAATTTGACTTGTAATCTCAGAATTGGATAGTTTTAGTATTGAAGTTCAATTTCTAGTTATTCATGATTGATTATTCCTTAAAAATTTGATCTTACACCATCAAACTTTTTAAATAAGACAATTTTTGATTCTTTAGCACTTGAAAGGTATTCCACTATAGGAGAAAGAACATGATTTGGTGCAGATATTGAAGTAGCTCCAATCATCTCTATATTTCTACTTTCTCTCATTTTTATTCCTCTTCATGGTGGTAAATTAAATTCATGCATTAAAATTATTAATTTTCTCAATTATTTTTATATTTTTACCATTGCATACTTCATTTTGACAAGCTTTGTCATAATAATACTTAAAAGAAAAGAGATGTCTAATATTGCTTAAGATAAATATAAAAAAAAACTTAAGAATAAAGGAAATATTAAAAATAATATCAATTTAGAAGAGAATAATTTACAACTTCTAATATGCTTATGTCTTATCTAGAATAAAAAATAATCTACTCTTAATTAAAAATAGATAAAATTTTGATATTATAAGTATATTCTTCTCAATCTATCAAGGATAAGAACTTAATAAAAGCAAATAGACAAGTTAAACTTTTTCAAAGAAGTATGAAAAAATAGAAATAAAAAAATATGTATATAAAAAAAAATTGAAATAACTATTGCCAAAAGACAAGAAAAGTAGAGAATCTTAAATCTAAATTAAAAATAAGAAAGGAATTCATAAGAGTGAGAAGGTTTCACTCTTACTACTATATATATTATCTACCTAAGAGCTATGTGATGACTTCAAAATATTTTGACTTTATATAATATATATCTTAATTTATAAGTCAAATTTTCTAAACGGACACTACATAGTTAGCTTGTTTTACAAGCTATCAACATGTATAGGATGTGGTTAATTTGTTGAACAAGTTTTCAACCTATAAATTAACTAAAAATATATATTAAGTCAAGGTAGTATCTATAAAGCTTTTAGAAAGCTTTCTTAGGAGATTTTATAAAATTAATCTATTTTTATCTACTTCCATCTATCCATATTATATAAATAATAATTAAAATAAATATATGTCCGTAATACATATCTCTTAATAGTCAAACTTATATATCTTTTAACTTATAACAATTTATTAGATAAGATTGTTTGCTTATCTTCTATTTATACCTAATATTTTGTAAAATTTTAAATAATATGTTAGAAGATCCAAACTAAGGATTGCAAAGACTTGCTCTCTCAAATACAACGACTACCACCAATCAAATGTTTGAGGGTGACTTCACTTTAAAAAGATTGGAAGCAAATCTCAAAGCAACTATGACCATTTTCAACATATTTTGTGAGGCTAGTAGAATAAGAATCAATTGGAAAAAATCAATTAAGATATGGATTCCAAAAAATCTACAAGATTTAAAATGGCATTCTAAGCTTGAAATGACATAGCTAGAAGAAGACATGAATACAAAATATCTATGCTTTTTAATAGGATTTAGACTAATAGAAGAAAAAATCAAAAACAAAATCATACAATAGATCAACCATATATGAGAATACCAAGAACTAGTAGGCAAAATACATACAATTTGGTATCTATGATCCTACTCCTTCATAACAAAATTTATATTCCAACAAACTCACTGAAGAATCGAAAACTTCCTTTACTGAGCACCCCTTGATAAAGCAACTAGAGCTAAGGTGGTGTGGAAATACATCAAGTAATAGACTCAAAGTATTAGACCTGGCTATACATGCAGAAGCAATGTTCACCAAACTAATAGTAAGAGGACTTCAACCCAGCCATGAACCCTAGAAGATACTCCCACGACACAAAAATAATCAAGCCAAAGTCACAAGATCAAGAAGAAGGCAGCAACACCAACATTGGATCATGCATATCCGAAAAACAGCCACTAATGCATCAACACTGTGGAAAGCAATCGTACAAGCATAGTCAAATATTAGATCAGGATTAGAGCAAATAGACCAACTACTCATGAGGAGATCATGAGACAACCGCTCTTTGGAAACCACCTAATGTACAAAGAAAATAGCGACCTAGTAGGAGCAAAACACAACTCCACATTTTCCACCTGAGCCAACAAAGGGGTATTCACCATCAAGGACTTTTGGTTTGAGGAGCAACAGAGCTGGAAATCCAAAATAGAACTTTGCTACCTCAGTTCATGCATCCTATCCCTGAAGCCAGAACTCCTCGTCCATAGCATATCCTAGATTTTCACATTGCGACCACCACCAAGATAAGGTGAGTGGATCACTGCATCAACAAATGAACCTATCCATACAATATATCTAATAATTCAAATCAACCTCATATTCCACCTCAGCATTAAATACAGAGTGGAACCATCCAAACAACTCATAAGACTCGGCAAGGAATCTATCCCTACCGGCCCCCTGGAGCAAGTTTGAATTCTTATTACTATGGATAATTAAGTTACTCACTATAACCCTCTACAGGAACTATCGGATTCAAAGAGAGACTGGATCTTTGGAAAAACACCCATCATCCGACTACCTTGAGACCCAAAGGACTGGGAGTGAAGCTAGAGAGGAACTCACAAACAAGCAAAATTCTTTAAATATACAAGCAAAAGAGGCTACAGCTCTGCAATTCTGTCCGAGATTAAGAACATGGCTAATGTAGGCTTTAGCCTGAAATAATGCAAACTGCTAATCTAGAGACTTGCACCCATGGCTACCAAAGAAAATCTCAGCAATGCATTGGCTCATGTGGGCGGGAGGCTTATCAATTGGTGACTGGAAACAAAAAGTGAGCCGAGATAGTTCCTGCCAACTCTGCAATGACACCGTGATCAAATCCCTTAAACATGCCCTCTTCAGATGTCCGATAGTCTCCAAAGCCTGGATGCAATTTAGCCAACTACGTGCCTCCGCTAACTCAACAGACCTATGACGCTCATGGAACATCATTAGCTTGGACAAATACTATTGAAACCGCAACATCTTGGACTGACAACACCGCATGGGAGATCCTCTGGGGCACATTGGTATGGAACATATGGGTAGATAAATGTAACCAAGAACTAAATAACACTTCCTTCAACCTTGGCAAAGTACTATACAATTCATGGAAAGCAACCACTCAAATCAGCATAGAAGCATGGCAGGATATATATATTGTCTGAAACGCTCCTTTGACAAGGTGCTCGATCTGAAGCTTCTTCTTAACAGAATCTAGACTACATGGGGCATTTTTTCTATAGCAAGGGAAGGTGAGCCGAAGTAGAAATTAACTCTACCTGAGGCCTTCCTGCCCCTCAGGCTTGCAATCCATAGCCCACCTAGCCAATTCAACATCCCAATTCATCCATCTCCCAAACAAAACCGTGACTCTCATCACTCTGAAGAAATCAACATTGATCTCGACATAGATGTAGAAGGCGCTATTGAACAGCTATTCGCCGAAGTTACACAAGACATAGACAACTAAGCTAGAGCTACTAACGGCAACATCGAAACAATTGACATAACGGTCAAAGCCACACAACACCCGATAACCACTCACCTTTGACTCCGATAGCAGAACCGATTTGCAATCTCTTCTTACGACACCTGGAATGGAGGAGCTAATGAGCAGGCCATCCGACACCTCCCAAGACTTGGCGGAGGCACCAACAATGACGGAGGACGAATCCAGGAATCTACAACGAAGAGAGGAGAGAATTAGAAAAATGAAAAACCCCAAACCTTACACGGCATTTGAACTCCAAGATGTTGGCCGATCATTCGCACTCAGAGGCACATGGCAAGGCCAAGTGGCCTTGGAGGTGTATGCAGCTTCAACACAACATTTGGAGAAGACTACACCTGTTGGATGAGCGACGGCCTCGGCTTCTTCAATCTAGGCTCAAGGCACCCACTATAGAGGTTACGCACATCAGCATAACATATCGAAAGTATAGGAAGAGTGTGTCAGAAACCGAAAAGAAATAATATGATGGAAAAATATCACATTCCCCTGAAATTTCCCGAAATATCAAGAATACCCCTCAATTCTTGATAATAGCAAATCTACCCTTGCATTTTGTGATAATTGCAAAATTGCAAAAATGCCCTTTGGATTGATAAACTATCTAATTCCAGTTTTTTTAGTTTGAATTGGGGCCGGGAGGGGCACTTTTTCTCACAGCCTGGGCCCCGCACTAAATAAACGCCTATCTTTACTGAAATTTTCCCTTCTTCACAATGAACGTCCTTGTTCTGACAACCGGCGTCTAAAACGACCAGCTCAAGAGGGGCAGCAGAGTAGGCAACCAGGAACAATCACAACAGAGAAAATAAAAAGAAGGAAGTCGATGGATGTGACCTCGGTGGCAAGGCAAAGAGCAAGACTGATTTGGTGCAGCAGAGGTCTCAACGAGCTCAGCAGATTCAGCAACACACCAGGCGCAACAGTAGATAGTCAAAAACTTGTGGAATTGACCTCTAGACTTCTCTGATGACACAAAAGCAGCAGCATGATTGGAGTTCTTTAACTTCTTAACAAATCACCCACAAGTGAAGACTTTGACAAGGTGTCTGGTATCTGCTGGAGTTTCAGTGATCCACAATTCTCCTCTGTGCTTCTTTCACTTGGTACACTGCCGGAAAATCTGCGAAGGCAGTTGGGGGGGGGGGGGGGTGGGGTTTATTTAGTGCGGGGCCCAGGCAGTGCCGGAAAGTGCCTCTCTGGGGCCCCAGTTCAAACTAAAAAAACTGGAATTAGATATGTTATCACTTCAAAGGGCATTTTTGCAATTATCACAAAATCAGTGTCGGAGCTGGCAGAACCTGCGAGTGAGACAAGGGGTCATGCCAATAAACCCTGGGAATGAGATCTGAGTGCGTTGCACGACTTCTGAAACAACTAGTATATCCAGATATAGTGCATTATGTTCAAGAAACAATGAGTTTCACGGAACTGAAGACGGAGAGGGAGTTAATGTGTGAAACATTGCCTACGAAGGTATCTCCAGAGGAACGGTAACCATGAAGATGACAGCTTAACATTGCCGGGAGAACGCCATCTTGGTTCAGAAAATTAGATGATTATCAAACTAGTTTCAAGTTCGAGTGAGTTGATGGTTGGAGGAGCTGTACAAGACGCATGAGAATAAGTAGCTTGTCGAGAATTGCAGGCTATCATGAGTACTAAGTTCCGGAAAAAATTCTTTTTTTGCGCACAGCGGATAGCCAGAAGTCTAGAACTCCTGATCACAGATGATCGTATATTGCTTTTTGAGACCATTTTCTGTTTACTTCAGTCTCGACATAGCGACCCGATGTATTATTATATATATATATATATATATATATATATATATATGATACTGCGATATTGTAAGGGGATTTGAGGGATGCAATTGGCTTCATATCAACGCATGAAGAGTGTGCTTAGCCAGAGTTGCTAACAGTACATGGTTCTGATCATTGTAAACATAGCTAATACTCCGATCTCAGCGAACGGGAAGGAAAGTTGTTCCAGATCATCATGTCTTAGTGAGCTACAAAGCAAGGTCACGCGAAAACTTTAATTTAACGTTGAAGTTCCCCAGTGTTTTACTCAATGAGTATATTCTCTTGGACCAATCTGGATTTCAGGGCTATATTTATCCTCTTGTCAGTACAAGGGTATGTGACACATGTAACGCGCTCCAAGTTCAGTCTGGTTGCTTTCGGGACCTTGTTAAGTGGTACAGACAGTCACGTTGCCTGTCAATACCACTTAACTGTCCTGAATCGAAGATTCAAACCCATGCAAGAGCGATTTTCTCTCTGATTGACATCATTCACCCGGTTGAGCGTTGATATGAGATTTAAACAGGGACGGTAGTAATATATAATTTAAGCAAATGCCTTTTTGTAACAACGTAAATTAGGGTGTTAGTTACATGTGTGTCTTGGCATATGATTGATTGATTTAATCAGTGATGCAAAGCCTTTATGGTGAAGATTTTACCAAATAGCCACTGAAGAATTTAGTAGCGAAAGTACATCGCCTTGTGTATAGATCGTGATAGCATTCATGGTTACGACAGTTCATTTAGCAAAACAAGCCCACAGACTCCCACTTTGTCCCAACTGGAAACTTCTAAACAATGGCCCATTGCTCACCAGCCTCTTCGCTCAAGCAGGGAAAATTCTCGAGATCTCTGTCTATCAACTTGGCCAAGCATTCCTCAACCAATGGCACATTGAGTGTTTACCATGATGGAGATCGAAGAGAAAGCTGCACAATGCTGGTGGAAATGTACAAGATGGAGATTCATGAGTACAACGCCGTGTAGAATTGATCTTTCCAGTATGTAATTAAGAGCTAAATAGCTGCATTGATGCTGGGCAGGACTTTGTCGACTCATACACGAGTTCAAAGTCTGAAAAAGTGGTCTGAGGTACATATATGTGAAATGCAATGAGAAATTGCATGAGGATGGTGTTCACTTTATTAAGAGCTTTGTTAAAACATACGTCAAACAAGTACGATGCAAGTACTTTATATCCACGCTCTTGCTAGAGTGTTCTGGTCTTTGATAAAAATGCAGCTCTAGTTTTAAGACTGCTATAGTCGCGATCACTTAGTACCGACATCCAGTTAGGTGGGAAGGATGTCCCCCTAGTACTTCCCATGAACGCACTTGCCCTCCCTGTCATTCATATCAACACATTCAACCCACACGTTAGTTCTCGATTGAGACCACTTTTAAAGTAAACACACAGAGGAAATTAAATAGGTAGATCACCCGTAAAACCAACTGAATTGGGTTTTCCACAAGCACTTTAGTAGAGCAAAATCACACATATGACTACTGATTGAAAAACAAGAGTCATTAGTTTAGTGAGTCAATGTAAGAGTTTTGAGATAAATAGCAAAAGAATAGGATGTCAGTGCAAGGAGGGGTCTTTGGTAGAGTCTCTTTGATAAAAAACTTTAAAATAAATAGTTTCTTCTTAATTTAACTAATATAAATTTATGAGTTTTTTCATCAAAGTTTTTGTCATTAAAAAGTTAAATAGGCCAGGAACTAAACCTGATCTGGACAATTTAAAAAGGAGAAGGAAAAATAAATAAAAAAATAAAGAAATAAATAGGAAAAGCTAAGGAGAACAAGTAAAATAAAATAGAAAGACGATCAAGAGGGCGAGAGGCTGCCCCTGAATGGCGGCAGCCTCCTCGTTGATACGGGTCCGGGTCGCCTCGGACCCCTTTCTTGATATTTTTTGTTTTTTCTGATTTTTTCAAAGCTTTTGGCTCCGATGCCTCGAAAGTTTTTTGTGGATGTTTTTCAATGGTGTGGCTGCGGGATTTCCTTTGCTCTGTCGAGGATGGTGGCAGTATCCTCCTTGTTTCTATTTTCTGTGATCAGCATAGAGGGTCGACAATTCCATTCTAATGCATGCAGTGGCGAGACTTGGTGGTCTTCTCTTCTTCCTTTTGTTCTGATTTTTCTCGTGAAGCATCCGACTGTGGCGGTGCTGCGGCATTGGCGTTAGAGTTGCGGTTCAACTGCGATGTACATGGTGTTCCCATTACGGTCCGTGGTTTGGTTTGTAGTCGACGACAACAGCGTGGTGAATGCGGAAGATCAAGGGGTTGTTTCTTTCATTTTTTCTACTTCGATGCAGTTGGGTAGAGCTGGAGAGGGCGGACGGTTGACGATTCGACTTTCTTTAGTTTCGTGGTTCTTCTTGTTGTTGGAGTGCTGTGGTACAACATTCCTTCTAGCTTTGTTTGTTTGTTTGTTATTTTTTGTTTTGGGTGCGGCAAATCCACACACTAGTTACGAATCGGGGTCTCTACTCTAACGATGATTGTTGCCCCCTTCTTGTGTTCAAATGTGTATAGAGCGTCGCAATTTTAAGGGAGTAGGCGTAGGTTCTTATGTTTTTTTTTCTGTCCATCTTTTTAAGTCTACATTGGTGCATTGGCTGCACGGTGTTCTGCAAAGGAGATAGTACTTGGGGTGCACTCAAGTGGCGGTTCTTCCTATTGGTTTGATTCGAATTGGACGATTGGCGGCAGTGCGATCGACGGCCTGGTGCCGTGGTGGCTTGCAGTCAACTATGGTGCTTTTCAAGAGTGCGACGGTACCAAAGTTCGCAAAGTCGTAGTTGGAGCTGCATTGAAGCGTGGTTTTTTGGTGTGTACAGCATCACTTCTTCCGAGGAAACGTTGATCTTCTTATTGGTTGCATCATTTTCGGTGTTCTGGGCATGGATTAATGGTGCTCTAGTGCTGCTGATGTGCGTCAAGTGAGTGGCACCGGATTTTTATTCAACTACAGAGACATGATCCTTCTGGTGTCACAGAAGTATCTAATTCTGTGCTGAAGCGGCTGTAGCTACCATTCTAGCGGAACGTTGCAGTTAGCGAGCGGCGGCATATTTGGAGTGTAGCTCGTCGTACTGCGTATCATCGTCTCAGGGTGGATTGTCAAGTGGATACCACCCAAGCTGTTAATGTGATCAATCGGATCAACCCCTTGATGGACTGCTGTACAATACCTCGAACGCTGGTGAATAGCAGAGACTTAGAGTTACAGAGCTCGTAAGAGAAGTAGGAGCGTAGTTGTAGCATATCAGTGAAAATATTTAGTAGACATACCCGTGCTCACGAAGTTATTCAATTGCACTTTTCGTTGGTCAACAGTTGGCCTACATCAAACAACGGAGAAGTCCAGGGTTTGTAAAGGACCGGAGGATCTGTCTGTAGGACTCGAGCCTGCGTGGAAGTGTTACCTGTGTGGAGGGATTGAAAAGTTGAGGCTGGCAAGAGAGTATTACGAATTGAGTGATTTTTCGTAGTGGGTATAGGCTGAGTTCACTTGGATCAGTTCCCGCTGCTGCAATTGTATTTAATCACACTTAGGTGGCCAATTCACTTGTTGTGAACTAGAATAAACTTCCAACTAGTGGAAGTTTATTTAAGCTCACAGCATTGCAGCTGAGAGGTTGTACTACGAGAATGGAGGAGCTTTGAACGAAGCGCCACGGTCTTCATCTTCCGTTATGTATGTTTCCTCCTTTCCCTCGCAATGTCTTAGGCGTCTCGAGCCTCACGAGAATTAGAACGTGAAGGTGTTTCTAAATTGTTGAAAATGCAGTTCTGGTCGCACACAATCAGAGTTCTAAACCCTGTTCATGTCATTCTCTGTATTGGTCGATCCCCATGTTGACGACTCCTACTTTCAATGTAGAAATTTTTCTTTTTGTATTCTTCAATACCCAATTTTTGCATTCTTCTACACATAGTGTTCAGATTTCATCTCATCAGTTCAGTCATTTTTTCCACTTTAGGGTTTAAGATCTGAGGTAGTATTACAAGAGCTACTTGTTGCGTGTCGTGCCATTCATCATACTCTACTTTAGGATTTTAGATTTACATCTGGACCTTTACAGTGTACTGTGTATGTGGTGCTTCTTAGCTTAGATTTATCAAAAAAATTGACAATGTCCCCTGCTTCAATAAGGAGTACTTGCTAGACATTCTTCATTTTGTTCATCTCTACGGTTTAAGGTGACGGCATAGTTATTCTAGTGCTCTTTAATTTCTCTTCGTAGAACTCTCTATTTAGATTGAGGTTAAGTATTGGATATTGCTTAGATGAACCTACTTGCAATCTTCTTGATGTAACATATGTACTAATATAACATATTCATCTTGTCTTTGTAAATTATTGATGGTTCTAAATCTGTGTGTGTGTGTTGACCCTGCGCAAAGACCATGTTGACATTTCCGAGGAGCACTGGTTTTACGAGCTTGTGTGTTGCACAAGCAAGAGATGTAGTGCTTTAGTTGGATTGCTAAACAAGTTTAAAAATATTTCAATTTCTCATATTGGTTGTATAGATTGCTATTCCCAGATCTGCTTCTACACGCCTGATATGATGCCCACTGAACTTGTGACAGTGTTAGTTAGAATTTATGATCGAGCCTACAATGTAAGATATCCAAGTGAGCAGCGAGTGATGGATCTCATGGTGGAGTTTGCCATGCAATGCAAGGGTCTCAAGAAGCCTACAGGAGGACTCAAGTATTTCATTTGCATTCATTGTGGGAAGTCCACATTTTTCAATAGATGAGGAGCGGGCTGCTGACTTTGTTGGATCATCTCTCTTGAAAAAATAGAAAGCCAGAGTCACAAAGGGTGAAGCATTCAAGGTAATAGAGAAGGTTACTCTTGCAGCTAATTTATTCTTTGGGGCAGCACCACCAGAGGCAAAGAAGGCTGTTCTTAAAGAGAAGATGAAGAAGAAAGGCCCATCTACTACTGAGGATAGATCGAAAACAAGAGAATGAAGAGGACTTTTCACCCCCGCAAAAGGTGGTGCAACCTGGTAGGATGGGCCGGGGATTAATGGAGGTTACAACAGCGGCCCTCGACACAAACTTGCAAGCACTAGAAAGTACATAGTTGCAAGCACTAGAAAGGCACCCATCATGGCAAGAACTAGACAACATGGGGAGTCAGCATTTCGATCGTAGGCTTGGAGTCCATAAAACGACAAAGAGGGAGTATGGGGGTGTTGTTCTGGATTTTCAAACATTGCCCCACGAGCTACAAGTTATGCATTGTTACAGACATATATATTTATTCTAATAATTATATATATGATTAATATATCATTACAAGGACAAATGTAAAAAAAACATAATAAACTACAATAATGCTAATAAAAAAATCTCCCTTAAGTAGAAAATTAGAAAAAACAATAAAAAAATGGATTCATGAGTTCAAGAAAAGAAATAAATCCAAAAATCCATTGATCATATCAAGATCCTTTAAAATAACAACATATCAATAAATAATGTTCAATATCTTGACATAAATGTGTGGACGATAAATACAATATGGTTTTTCTTGGGCCATTGTAGACCATCATGAAGAAGTGCACTGGTAAGTTTAGAATATATCATCTAATTATTTTTGGTCATATTTTTCAAAAAACACCTAAAAAACATTTTTAGTGGAAAGTCCAAAAATTTAAACACATTTTATTTTCATTTTTTGGTTACAATTGTTCGCTCTTGATACAAACTACTAAAAGAATGTGTATAATTATTTTTAGAATTTTTTTCTATACTTCGATGCTATAATGTGGCAAACCTAGTCTTACTTCTTTGATATGTCCATTCTTTCTTTCATTTTTCAATACCCATTTTGCAACCCCAAGAGACTCTAATCCAAGGTTATTTGCTCCTATTATAAGAATGAAGTCGTTTAATATTGTCATGACATTGTCCAATGCCATTCAAACATTGATATCAGTTCTTTATAAAAGTAATCATTATTGTTATAGCAACTATGGTTGAGTGTCAAGGACATGAACTAAAAGAAGATGCATAAACATGTAAAATCTACATCAAAAGAAAAGTGACAAAATAGAAATAAAGAAGTATGTATATTAAAAGAAAATTGAAATGGCTATTGCCAAAAGACAAGGAAAATAGAAACTCTTGAATCTAATCTAAAAGCAAGAAAGGAGTTGATAAGAGTGAAGAAGACTAATACAAAAAAGACTCTCAATATTAAGTGAGTCGTGATACCATACACTCTCGTATTACATGTTGTTTTGCTCGGGAATGCATCGGGTACTTAGCTGTGGAAGGTGAGATTATGTTTCACAAGTAGCCAAGAAACCCTAATAATTTTTGTCCATACAAGAAGAATATAATCTAAATTTCAATTCAAAAGTGCTTAAAACACTCCTTTTAGTAGTCTTAATCATACATAAATCCCAATTACCTTATTACTTTCATATTTAAGCAATTTAGATTTTTCTTATAAGCCCTAATCCTAATCACTGAGCTTTAATAAGCTATAACATCCAAACCGACCATTCACTTGTTGTGGAATTTGGCATGCAATTGTCAATGTAAGTCTTCTATATGCTCAAGAATTTTTAGCCCAATCCAACTTATAGATTATAAGAAAACCTCCAAAAATTGCACTAATGTCATTCGGCCGCCAACTTAAAAAAAGAAGCAGAAATCCCAGTAGTGATTTCTCCCTTTCCAACCGTTAACTTTGTCTCAAAATTGGTATGTAGCTTGATCTTCAAGTCCTTCATTACCATGCCAATTTTCACCTTAAGCTGACTAATAGATCTTTAGATATCATAGAAACCCTACCCAACCTCAAATTGCCACCTTCAGAAATCCTCTTGTGCTAAAAACTAGATATCTCTAAACCATGCTGTTAGATTATTACAAAACTTTGTATACACTTAGCACACCCAATAATCCAAACAGTACCAAGTTTTTAACTATAGATGTCACACCAATTGCACGAACTAGCCAAAATTGCTAGCCCTAATTATATTATATTAAATCCAAATCAGTGATAAAAACCCTGACTTTGAACAACAATTGCTAAGTCCTCCAAAACCCTTCCAAAAAAATTCTTATGTCTCTAGAAAGAACTTCAAGCTAGCTTTCAAATTCTAATCTTCGATCTTTGAAATGAATCCCTAACTTGCCCTCGGTTGTCATTTTAGTGACTAGAAGTCTGATTTCGACCCTATCTCACAAATGGTCGACCCCCGGATATCAATCTAACTTATCCTAAGGATTTTTTAGCCCAATTCTATCCTTAACTTGACCTTAGTATCAACCATATCAACCATTTACCTTTGCTATCCTGATTTTAGTAATTTATGATCTATCTAAGGTAGTAGAAGAGTCTCTACAACCTAGAAGGTAAAATTACTAACTAACCTTCAACCTACTAGCTATTAAGATAAGAAAATAACCTAAGAGGCTTTTATAAAAGCCATGTTTAGATACCTCAAATTATAATTGAACTTAGATAATTAGATATTAATTAGAAATTCAATTTTGATTATAATTTCACTATATAGTCGTATTACATCACGACAATTGATGAATTTTTGATGAGAAAACTTCATATAGAATTGAAAATTCAGTAATAAATAGCCTTAAATATTTAAGTTGAATACTAACACGATGTTAAGATTTTTAAGATAAAAGATGAAAGTTAGAAGATTTTAAAATAAAAATAAAAATAAAAAATAAAATTAAAATTAAAGTTAGAATTAATAATTAAAAGTCAAGTGAAAATTCAAAAGTAATAGAAGTAAAAGTTGAAGGTTAAAAGTAAAAGTTTAAATGTTAAGATTAAAAGTAAAAGTTTAAATGTTAAGATTAAAAGTAAAAGTTTAAAGTTGAAGGTTAAAAATAAAATTTTAAAGGTTAAGATTGAAAAAAAATAAAAAAAAATTAAAAGATCATATTAATTTTTATTTTATTTTTTATTTTATCCTTAAAAGATAAAATTAGATGGAAAGATAAGAATTTAAGATTAATTTCTAGAGTGAGATAAAAAGTTCTTTGAAATTATTAAATAATACTAATTAATGATAATAAGATAAATGATTGACAATATAGCATTTTAGGTGCTGAGAGATGTGATTAGAGGGTGATTAGGGAAGGAAAACTTACTTAGAATATGTCAAGTTGAGGGCAGCAGATTCCTTGTTGTTTGGAAATTTTCCAACATTTTCCTACAGCTCTTATGTTTTTGAAATTTTTTGTGGTTAAGGTTGATTTAGAGTTTCTTCTATCTACCAAATTTCATCGTGATTCAAGGTTTGACGTGCAAGATATGTGTTTTCAAAGCAAGGTGACCTGAGTTGCCTGGATAGCAGATCTACTTAAAAATTCACTAAAAATCAGTTAATAGTTTAAAATTGATAATTATAATTTTTCCTAAAACCACACTTAGTAGAGTTCCTTCTCCATTATATTTCAGCACAAGAATGTAAGTAAGTGCTAAGATAAAATTTTTCAAATCTAGTTGTTCAAAATTACCAAGGCAGTAGGTCCCTTGACATTTAAAAATTCATTAAAATTTTGATATAGCTCGAGAATTAGTGATTTAAATTTTTTAGTACAATAAAATTTAGAATGCATTTATTTCAATACTCCACATCAAAGTTGAGTTAGAAGTCATTGAGTTATAGATTTTTTAAGCCAACACTTCTACTCTACTAAGGCAGTAGACCCCCACCACCTTGAAAACTCACCAAAACTTCGTCACAACTTCAAATCAAACGTGCCTTATGTTATTACAAAGCTAAGAGTGAGTAGAATCTGCTTACAAAGTATTAAAAAAAGAAAAAGAAAAGATATAGACTATGCGAGTTAAAACCAAGACCATACAAGTTTAAAGAAGAAGTTTTGCATTCATAAGATGGGAGAATATTTTGCCATGGCTTTGCCACAAGAAGATGGAGAGAGAGAGAGAGCTTGGCCACCTAAGCCCTATTAACCAGGTGGAAGGAGGCCCAAAAGTGGCGGACATATTTCTACCATCAAAATCGGAAAATCCCTAATCAAGATCAAAAGTCCTCAATAACTCTCAGCCTAACCTCAATTTTAAGGCTGGAAATGCCTAGAATTCAAAAACTAACATCTTTTTGGTAAAAATAACACCACCAATGTCTCTAAAACATATTTTTATCCCAAGATCGACTATTCACAAGTCCAAATCTGAGTTCTAAAACTTAAGTACCTATTAATTTGCTTATTTAGTTATGAATTTCAACTACAATTCTAATTCTAATTAGCCTACTTGGAAATCAGCAAGGATTCTTGCCATCAAAGCCTTTATAATCACCATTCTTCAATTTTAATACCTTTAAGCATGAACTCTTGGCAAATCCAAAACCTAATTGCAAATTGGCCTTGAATTAATATGCTTGTGATTTTTTCCAATTTTTTTTTTTTTTTCAACTTCAAGTAGTGATTAAAATCACTATGAGAGGAAACTCCACCAAAAAATTTATCTTGTCTTCATCTTTTTAAGATCATCATTAATTTAATAATTAGACTTTATATTATTAATCCAATTAAATTATAAAATAAAATTTAAGCTTACAAATCTCAAAATTAATTAAAAAGATAGAGCAATTAGGTTTAAGGGACTTTTTAATGATAGTCAAATTAGAAATTAGCTTTTGGATTAAAAATTAAGATTTTGGATTAATTTAAGATATAATCTCTAAAAATTAGAAGAGAAATTCTACTAAAATTATAGTTTTATCACTAAAAAAAAGTTTTAAAGTAATTCAAGAAAAAAAAATCATAGACCTTCTAAATTTATTATTTTTTCTTTTGAATTTTAAAATAATCAATCAATCTACTAATTAGAATTATTCATCTAATTAACAACCTATTGATATAATCAAAGTCATAATTAACTAAAAAACTAATTTAGATCTATTAATTAGTTATATTAGCATTAAACTTAATAAAAATATGTAAAAAATTACAAAAAGAATTGTAACTAACCATTGAAGCTTTTAATTATGCTCACAATAGTATAATAAATACTGAAGCTACTATTATTTTTCAGCTCAAGAAACATCATTTAATTCAAAAATAATGATTGCATTATGGTTTCAATTACAATATTATGTGCGCATTAATAATGCAACAGGTATACACATCCAAAGAGATAAGAATAAACTTTTCAACTTCAATGAAGATATAACTATTTAATTCCAAAGCTACGATGGTGGCATTAGTAAATCATGAGGCTTAGATGAGATGCATCTCACAATTTTAGATCCTATGAAAAAAAAAAAAAAAAAAAAAAAAAAAATGTGATTGTAAAGGATGTCCATTAGATTCTTGGAGTACGTGATA